AAAAAAAAAAAAAAAAAAAAACATTTCCAATAGAGTTTTCTGCCATGTTGAACATGAAAAGATAGCTTACCAATACTCTGGTACTGTGGTGGTAGTTATTATAGAAAGCTATATTATTCAGAAACTATATATATGTTTATAGTAGGAACTACTAGTTATCCACCAATACCCATTCTCCCCATTTTATAATAATGGAATGCCCAAATGGCAGTTCAGGTAGAGATCACATTTCCCAGCCTGTCTTTTCAGCCTTAGTGTAACAATGTGATTAAGTTCTGGACATGAGTGAACATGAAGTATGTCACTTCCCACTTCCAAGAAGGAATGTATGCATTCCTGGACCTTTTTCTTCTTGCTGGCTGGGAGTCTGGCAACAAGTAGAGCAATCACTTTATAAACAGATTGAAGCCAAATATTAAGGATGCTGCAGAGGCACCGTGACAGCGTTGGGTGCTCTCCCTCTGGTCTGTGTTATATGAAAGAAAAATAAATTATTTTGCTTAAAACAACTATACTTTGGGATTTCTTTGTTATAGCATCATAGTCTATTCCTCAGTTATTACATTTTCCAGATAAGTTTTATAATAGGCTTCAGTTAGAAATAGTGGAAAATTAATAAACATAAAAATGATGAACCCACTCAAATTTGCACATTTATTTGATATATATTGTAAGGCTTGCAGAATTTTCAACAAAACAACTCTCAAATATAAACAATAAAATAAGAAGAGTTATGAGCTATATGGGGATAGGAACAGAAGAAACAAAAATATGTTATTGGAAACTTCTGGGGTATACTATACTTAATTATGTCCAAAGTTAAAAGATCTTATTTCAGATACAGTAATTCATAAAGCAATATAGAAATACTTATTCTGTATTCTTTTATATGATGGTTGGTCAAGTGTAGCCACAAGAGGACACAGGAGAGGCTAAAGAAAACAAAGTTTATTATACTCGTAAGTCCTAGAGAGTCACACTGCATGTCACGTATGGAGACACAGGGGAAGTACCAGGTTTTGGTTAGGTGGCAGAAGATAGGAGCAAGCTTATGTCAAGGCCTTTATTGTAGTTTCTGAGAAAAAGGCAAGGCAGGCAGGAAAAACAGTTTAGGATTGACTAGTTAGAATATTTCAGTGACATTTGGGCTTTAGGGGTGGACTCTAGTTGCCTGGTACCTGACCCTTACATGATTAAGGCAGAGGAATATTGCCTCCTAGGTATATGGGCCAAACGGAGGACGTATGGCTATGCATTGGTTAGTTTCATCAAAGGCATGCTCCCAGCTGAGTCCTTTGCTGTCTCTCAAGAACTGACTAACCAAGGACTGGCCAGTTACTTAGTTGGTTAGAGCACAGTGTTATAACACCCAGGTCAAGGGTTCGGATTCCCATACTGGCCAGCCACAAATATATATATATATAAATAAATAAATTTTTAAAATAAGGAATTGGCTAACCCCGGGAGGGGCAGGCTCTCCCCAATCGGACAGGTTTCTTAAGATGTCTAAACACTATAATATATAGAAAAATAAAATATATATATAATACAATCCTACATTTTAGCTATGTTTGGTCTCATTCAGCACCTGTCAAAAACATTCCTAGGGGTTTTGGTTGATTGTCTAAGCTAGAAATATATCTGTCAACATGCAAAATGCAAGCCTCCTTACCAAATACATCATCATTTTAAAATTTAAAAAAGAATAAAAAAAGAATACAAAGATAATAGCACACACATTTATTTAAATTTAATTTTAAATTATTTTAAATTTTTACCATTTTTAAAAAATCTCGTGGACAACTTTTTTTAACTAATTACCTATAAGAACTGTTTCAACAGTGGGGAATACTGTCTTTCTTTGGGGTATTTAGGCATGGGGGCATATTTTGAGTTGTGTAGGGTTGCAACTCCAATTTAATCCCCACAAGGTCTGAAGTTTTAAACTCCCTGGAATGTGTGGAACAGTCTTCTACAAAAAAAAAGAACCATTCAGCCTAAAATGCCAATAGCACCTCTGTTGAAACCAGTTGCCTATAACATGTGTATATCTTGTACTCTTTCTTATCCAATACTAACCACAAAAAATTTCAATACCAGGAATCAAATGTTTAAGATCTATCAATGTGGTTTTAAAGAAAGTACTTTAACAATCCAATGTTTAACATTAGCATTTATTTTTAACATTAACATTTTAAATGATGCTTATAATATCTTCTGAACAGAGAAACCATTTGACACTTTTAAAATAAGCAATAATATTGTATATTGACAAAATAAAAATTTAAAGGAAAAAAAAAAAAGCAATAAAATGCCCCTTTAGTAGCCTATAAATAAGAAAGAATAAGATGATTAAATTCACTATACAAGAATAGGGCGGTCCCCTTTATCCACTTTCACTTCCTGTAGTTTAAGGTACCCATATTACAGTACGATAAGAAATTTTGAGAGAGAGAGACAGAGAAAGGGACCATATTCACATAACTTTTATTACAATATATTGTTATAATTTTTCTATTTTATTATCAGTTATTGTTTTTATCTCTTACTATGCCTAATTTATAAATTAAACTTTATCATAGATATATATGTATTGGAAAAAACATAGTATATATGGTTTGGTACTATCCGAGGTTTCAGGCATCCATTGGCGGTTTTGGAATGTATCTTCCATGGATAAGGAGGGACTATTGTATATATAATATATATTATAAATATACATAAAACACAGTTACATATATAGAGATAATACATTTAAATAAATTAATACATGTAAATATACACACATGTATATACACACCAAACACCCATAGATAGAATAGATAAATAGATGATAGAGAGCCGCACTAAGAAGTCATCTTCCTATTTCTGCTTATTCACAGACTGCAAAAGAAAGAAGTGTTTTACTGTTTTTTCAGCATATAGCTTATATAGTTTCAGTATATGGTACATATAGTTTCTCATATTGCTCTGGTTAATAAAATGGTCCACTAGATTTGTTCTGCATGATACACAAACGCATATACACACATACATACATATATACATACACACACACATAGATGTGTATACATATGTATATGTGTGTGTACATATATATAGCCATTTTGAAATAAATTATATGAAACAAATTTTGAATAAAAATGGCCAAAGTATATGAAAGTATAGTGCTGGTCTTTTTACATTATCATCTCAATTTAATCCTTTCAATAATTTAGGAAGTAGAAATAAAGCTATTACAAAATTGAGGAATTTGAGGCTCTACTGCGCAAGTGACTTATGTGTTCCATAATGGTAGGGATCGTTTTTATATTTTTCCAGTGTATTATCAGTGCCTAATCGTACCTGGTACATGATAGACATGGAATAAACACTGCAGGGATACTGTTCAAAGTTAGACAACAAGTAAATAATCTGGTTTCTCTAACTCCAAAATCTGAAACAGTTTAAAAATTTCAAAGTATATAAGTCAATATTCTTTTAAAAATAAAATGTAAAACATTCACCCTTTCAAATGTTTCAGTCCCTGCTAAATGGAAAAGAGTTTGCCAGCCACATCATGTTACAGCTATGCACAATGTATGTCTTTGCCTTTTACTGGCTTGATTCATTCAAATATTTAATGTACAGTAACTATAAAAAACTAGTAAGATAAAGGAGTCACTACAAATTAGGGTGTTTTCCAAGATGAAAAGAAGCAGCTGAGTAAACATCCAATTGGATTTATTTCTAGTAGCAGGGTTGGATCTTGTGAAGCCTCATTTTTTTTCTCCTTTACTTTGAAAGTTCCCGTTCTTGGTGGTCCACCAACTGGAGCCCTCAAGGTACCTCAATACTGACTCATATATAAACATGACACCTCCCACTTGTTTCTCTTCAGTGCAGACAGCACATCTCTACCGTGTACGAGGAGCTAAGAGAACTAGATTTTGATTCTGAGTTGGTCATTGAATTGCTGTGTGACATCAGTCAAGTAATTTTTCCTGAGTTTCAACTGCCTTAAATGTAGAATTAGGAGGTTTAATGAGATCAGTGTTTCCCAAACTTGTCTGACTGTAATGACCTAAGTCAATACTGAGTCCCTTGTTGAAAATATAGATTTCTGAGCCCCACAACAGAAATACTTGGTAGAAATGGGGGAGGAGAGGAAATGGTGAAGAGAAAAAAACTAAATTACCACAAATTACATTAATTTTATGCAATTTCAGTATATTAACTTGAATTTAAGCCATACATATGCTCCTAGAGTTTTTATTAAATACTTTCAAATCTGAAAAAGTAACCTAAATATCATTCCAGAAAACACACTGCAAAGGCTTTATGGCAACTATTTCAGCCTGCTGGGCCTTTTTAATTTACTTTCTTATTTTCTCATATTCTGGATGGTTAATCTCAAGAAAGTAGACATTCCTGTACTAGGGAATTGCTTACAAATGAAAATACAAAGTAGATAAGAAATTTCCAACATCTGTATTCTTTCAAATTATCACAATAATTAAACTACACAATAAAGAGACAATCATTTTCAATAGAAAGTATATTCTTTTTAAAAATTCTTCTAACATAATGGAATAAACAAAATAGTCTTACCTAATCGTAATTCTCCAAAATTGCCACATCCAATTTTTTTTCCAACTCTAAAGTTAGGTCCAACCATTAAAACTCCAGATGATGAAGACCCAGTTCCTCGAGTATTGTGCCCTGATCGACCAGTAGGTCGTGCCATTCTATCATCTGATTTGTCCTTGTCTTTCTTTTTATTATCCATATCAAGTTTGCGGTACTCCACTTTGAATTCTTTAATCAAGACAAGCACACTGAAATAGGGTATTGTGAGAACAGGTACATCACTAGGTAACTGCACCAGGTGGGCAATGTTAACATTCAAATTGCAGTAGGTAGTCTATTAACTGGAGCGTGTTCATCCCATTCGTAAAATTTTTCTCAGTTGTCTTTTCAGCAAAATATGTCTTCAAAATTCTTTTCAGTGATATGAGCTGATATTGATAGCTAGAATATTAAGAAAAGAAAATTAGTCAACTAAGAACTTAAAAACATGTGTTTGGGAAATTAGATAACATAACAAAAATTTAGGCAAAGAATTACTGATATTTGTTGATGTCCACTGAAATCAAACTACAGTATACTCTTAAATTAACCATTACCCTTTATTTCTATACTTCAATACCAAAAAGATCCCAAAAGCAAAACACAAAAATCAGGGGTTCAATTATTTCTTAAAAATAACAAAAAGAACAAAACTGTCAGTGTTTCAGAAACCAACATATACATTCACTAACCTAGACCTTACAACTGAAAAATCATCTCAATGTTTTTTAAAAAGTATGCAAAAACTTCCAAATCAATATGATTTTCCATATAAAAGCAGAAAAAGAATACATTTTACAAATTAGTAAAATATCATAATCTTCCCCCTTTTCATATACTTAATAATGTTTGAAGTCTTTTCAAATATACATTCTCATTTGACCTTCATTTATTCAAATATTGATTACCCTTTAACTATATATGGGAATGGAGCACAGAACTGATAATACAAAGAATATTCTTGCTACCCCTCAAGGAAAACAATTAATTCTTATGCAACATTTGAACTGGGCCTTATAATTTCACAAGGCTAAGAAATATTGACAGGTATAAACCTTATGAGGTAAAGAAGTTAGGTATTAAATTTTCTAATATACAGATAAAAACACTAAAGCTCAAAAAAAATTTTCAAGGCTTCTGGAGGAGTCTGCCCCATTCATCTTCTCTAGGAATTTCAGCCATCAAACACACCTTAATTCTGTGGTAAATCTGCAACCTACATGATCCTCCTACTTCAGTTTGAACAATTTGAGTGGGCTTCCTACTCTTTGCTGTTCAAGTGTTGACTTCAAAAGAAAGTCATTAATGAGGAAACTGAGATCAATATCAAAGACTTATTCCTATTTCTGAAATTAATTATATATCATGTAACCACAGTGTTGAAACAAATAGTATTTTCTGATTAATTTTCAGCAACCCCCCCGGCCAAATACCCAATTAGTTTTAACACCCAATCTATGAGGATTTCTTAGGTTTTGTTTTGCCACACTCTGTTGTTTGCAAATGAAACTGTGAGCTTCTATTTACTATATGGAAAACTAAAGGAGACCTCTACTTCCAGCCTTGATAGAATAACTGATACTGAACTTCCCCTCCTGTTGTAAACGACTATAAACTGGACAAACACACATGAAGCACCTGTTTTCAGGTATCAGATAATAGGCAGTACAGACTGGATCCCTAAGAAAAACACACAAAGTAATCCTACCTTCACCCAAGCTGTCTAGCTAGAAACAATTTTGTGATTACAGTACAAGGAGGTGAGGTTCAGGAAACACACTGTGATCACAGATCAAAGTTTGGGGCTGTTAAGGGAGTAGAATTTGAGAGACATGGTACCAAAAGTGAGGGAGTTATACGGTTAGAGGTAATGTGGCAGTAGAGCAGAAGGCTAGGCTACAAGTATACAGGGGAATATTCTGAAACATCTAGCAGACAATGGCCACTGCAAGGTTAAATGAAGAACAGAGATACTGGAGGTTGCAGAGTACTGAGTACTGACAGAGTTTAAAGTTCCTGTCCTGATCAACTGGGCAACAAACCAACAGAGGAATAGTTAATCTATCAGATGGAGAGAACAAATCTATAGCTATTAGAGGGAGAAGGGGACGGGGGAAAGGAGAGATTAGATGAGGGGCATAAAGAATAAATATAATTTGTAACAATGGATATACTAATAAAAAAAATTTTTAATAAAAATAAAAAATAATAATAAAGTCCCTTTCCAGAGGAACCTCATTAATGACTTAGGCATTCAGATAAGACACCACAAATACCAAGTCTCAAAAGTAAGGACCATACCCTAGAGTAGGGACTACTCTAGGCTGACCCACTAAAGCTTAAAACAAAGCCCTTATAGGATAAAAAACAGTTCTGAGTAAATCAACTGAATTCCAGAACAAAACTCAACATTCTCAAAAAGACAAAAAATCCAGACACTCAACAATGCTGAATTTTCAGTCCACTGTACAATTAAAAATTACCTACCATGCAGAGAAGCAATAAACGTGATCCATAGCCAGAAAACAAAGTTGTCAAAGGAAACAGACCCTAAGACAACCTTGATGTTTGAATAAGAAGACAGGTCTTAAAAATTACTAAACTGCTAGAGTACTATTAAACTGAAGAAAAAGAATAGAGCAGAAAAAATGTTTGAAGAAATAATGGCTGCAAATTTCGCAAATTTGATAAAAAAAAAAAAATGAACCTACAAATTGAAGATACTCAGCAATACCATAAGGGATAAAAACAAAGAAAACTCAACCTACAGACATCATAGTCAACTGCTAGAAACTGAAAATAATGAAGAAATCTTGAAAACAGAGAAAAATTACCCATGTCATACAGGAAAACTAACTTATCAGAAACAATGGGACCTGCCTTTTAAAAAATGGAAGAATATTTTCAAAGTAACAAAAGGGGGAGAAAAAAATTTTTGGCTCAGAATTCTACATCCAGTAAAATTATTCTTTAAAACAAAGTGAAAGAAAGCCATTTTCAGATGAAGGAACGCTGAGAATTAGTCACCAGCAGACTTGTACAACAAGAAATACTTTTTAAAAAGGCCTTTACCCTGATGTAAATCACATAATGCCAAATAGAAATTTGAAACTTCAAGAAGAAATAAAGAGCATTGGATATAAGAAATCCATGGGTATTCATTTCCTTTAAAGATAAATTACTGTTTAAAACATAAATAATCTCTTAGTGTCATTTATAACAAGCAGAAGTAAAATATATAACAACATGAATGGCGAGGTGGGTTGTAAATGGAATTATTGTCTTAAGATTTCTTCTTGAGGCCGGCCCGTGGCTCACTCGGTAGAGTGCGGTGCTCATAACACCAAGGCCACGGGTTCGGATCCTATATAGGGATGGCCGGTTAGCTCACTAGCTGAGCGTGGTGCTGACAACACCAAGCCAAGGGTTGAGATCCCCTTACCGGTCATCTTAAAAAAAAAAAAAGATTTCTTCTTGAACATAGCTGAGAGTAGATTTTAAGTTTTCCCACCACAAAAAAATGATTAGTATGTGAAGTAACGCATATGATAATTAGCTCAGTTTAGTCATTTCACAATGTAGGAATAGTTCAAAACATCATGTTGTACATGACCAACACAATTTTTATTTGTCAATTAAAAAAATAAGAAATAGATAAGAATTAAAAAAATTTTATATTTGTAAAGAGTGATGTGGCTCCATATTATTTCTAAGTAGCCAATGACAAGTTAAGATAGCACATTGTAATAACTAGATCAAACACTAAAAAAATGAAGTGCTTACAATAAGAATAGCTAAAAAGCCAATACAGGGAATAAAATGGAATACTAAAGATTACTTGGTTAAAACAAAAGAAGAGAAGCAGAAGACATTTGAGACAAGAACAAAACAAATAGCAAGATGACAAGCTTAAAAACACATATATTGAAATTGCCCAAATTCTCCCCCCAAAAGGCAAAAATTGTCAAAGTATATAAAAAAGCAAGACCCAACTATATGCTGTCTATAAGAAACAATTTTAAATATAAAGACACAGATTGATTGAAAGTAAACGAACAGAAAAAGATATACTATGCAAACAATACATACAAGAAAGCTTGTAAGACTATATTATCATCATACAGATAATAGATGTCAAAACAGGAATATCTCCAAACTCAGAGACATCTATTTCATGATGACAAAAGTATCAATTGGACAGAATGACATAAAAATCATCAATATACATGACCAAAATGGAGCAAAACTAACAAAACTAAAGGGAAAAAAAGATAATCATAATTGAAAATTTTGACACCATTATTTCAGTAATTGATAAAATAAGACAAGAATATCAGTATTGATACAGTAGATCTAAATGCACCACAAACTACCTTGAATAAATTTACATTTATAAAATACCACATCCAAAATTACAGAATAAAATTTGAATGTTCAACAAGAAAGAGCAAATGCTGTGCTATAATTTGTCTCAAATGACTGGATATTACAGAGTATATTCTTTGATCAAAATAAAATTAAAACAGAAATCAATAACTATATGATATCTAGAAAATCCCTGAATACTTGAAAATTAAACACACTTTTAAATAACTCATGAGTTGAAAAATAAATCATAAGAGAAATTAGAAAAAATTCTAACAGAATAATAATGAAATACAACATATTAATTTTGTATGTTGCAGCTAAAGCAGTACATAGAGGGAAATTAAAAGTTTTAAATGTTTAGGGCCGGCCCGTGGCTCACTCGGGAGAGTGCGGTGCTGATAACACCAAGGCCGCGGGTTTGGATCCCATATACGGATGGCCGGTTTGCTCACTGGGTGAGCCTGGTGCTGACAACACCAAGTCAAGGGTTGAGATCCCCTTACCGGTCATCTTTAAAAAAAAAAAAAAAGTTTTAAATGTTTACATTATTAGAAAAGAAGATTTTAACCAATGTTCTATGTTTCTCCTTAAAAAGATACAAAAAGAGCAAATCAGAACAAGAGCAAATCAGACACAAGCTGAGGAAGTGCTATAACAGAGCTATTACTTACTAATAGTCCATTGATTGATAGGAAAATAGTCTTAATGAGTGAAAACACAGGATTCCTCAGCAGATAAATGGAAAAATGCCAAACCAAAAAGAAAAAAAAAAAAAAGGAGATCTTAAAACAAAAAGGATCATATCTGAAATAAAGAACTTCACTGGATCTACTCAACTGCAGATTGGATAGAGCAGAAGAAAGTGAACCTGAAGGGAAAACTATACAAATTATCCAGAGAGCAAAATCAATAAAACAGAAAACAGACAACAAAAAAGAGAAAATAAAGTTAAAAATTGGTTCTCTGAAAAAGGTCAATTACAAATTGATAATGCCTAGCAAAAATGATCAAGAACAAAAAGAGAGAATATACAA